CAATGACGGGGCACTATTCCCCCCACTGACACCAATGATGGGCACTATTCCCCCCACTGACACCTATGATGGGGCACTATTCCTCCCACTGACACCTATGATGGGGCACTATTCCTCCCACTGACACCAATGATGGGGCATTATTCCTACTACTGATACCAATGAAGGGGCACTATTCCTCCCATTGACATCAGTGATGGGACACTATTCCTCCCACTGACACCAATGATGGGACACTATTCCCCCCACTGACACCAATGATGGGGCACTACTCCTCCCACTGACACCAATGATGGGGCACTATTCCTCCCACTGACACCAATGATGGGGCGCTATTCCTCCCACTGACACCAATGACGTGGCACTACTCCTCCCACTGCAAAATTACAGTTATGAAGTAGCAACGAAAATAATATTATGGTTGGGGGTCACCACAACATGAGGAACTGTATTAAGGGGTCGCGGCATTAGAAAGGTTGAGAACCACTGCTATAGAGGATCAAAACATTTTTGTCTGGAAGAAAGATTTCTTTATTATCCTCTGCTACACCTTTGCCTTTGAACAGGGCTGGTTTTACATTTTAGGAGCCTAAAGGCAGAGAATTTTGAAGCCCCCCCCAAATAAAAAGGCAGTAAGACTGACTTTTTTTTCTTGATAAAATATTTTTATATGTGTAAAGGGGAATGCTGTGGGCTTTGATGGAAAGGGGAACACCCCTTGCACAAGAGTCCCCAGAGTTCCCCTTACATCAGAGTCCTCAGAGTTCTCCTTTACATCAGAATCTGGAGGATTCACCCTTTACAGTGCAAGGGGGACCTCTGCGGACCCTGATGTAAAGGGGAACTCTGATGTAAGGAGGACACTGTGGACCTGAAGTAAGGTGGTCCCTGGTCACCAAAGCCCCCACTTACATCACAGTCAGCAACGTTCACCTTTACATCAAGGTCCACACTCTTCCCTCTTCCATCAGAGTTCCCTGTTTACATCAGGGTCCACAGAGGTCCCCTTATACTGTGGGAAGGGGAGCTCTGGTGACCACAGCCCCCCCTCACATTTCTATGTAGGGGGTGATGTTGCATTTTGTACACAGTGACCTGTTCAGTGTGATCCACCCCCCCCCTCCCCCCTTTTCTGTGTGCAGGACAGTTGTGCATAGACTCCTCCACTCTAATCACTGGCAGGGACTCACTGCCTGTGCCCTCTCCGCTCTGCCTAGAGAGAGCCTGTCTGTCCCTGGCCTGGACTCCTATGCTCTCTGCCCCCCCCAGTACCTACTGGATAGGAGATGGCTCTGAGTGTCTGCAGCTTGATTGAGCCTGTCACACCTGCACCAGATGGCGGGCTGGCGTGATCACCTCCAAGGCAACCACACCCCCTCCCGAGTCCCACTCAATCATTGCATGCCTCAATTCACCTATAGAGCTTCTTGATCAGCTGCAGGAGTACAGGAGCCGGAGGAGGTAGGGGAGGGATCTGTGAGCCGAAAGTTACATTTGTTATCCTCCCCACCCAGCAGTATCTGTTTTGGTGCCATCTGCACTAGGTTCACTGCAAGCAGCTCAGCTGTCCATGACAGACCTAAATTTCTGGGACTCTTTGGGACAGCTGTCAAAAAAAGAAAAAACTCATACATACTCTAGGAAGGGACATGCCTACAGTGCCTGTTGGGAAATCCAGCTCTGCCTCTGAAATTCACATAAAATAATTCTTCAAATGTTGGTGAAATGTATTATGACCATTTATATTTAATGGTAAATTTTATCATATACAGGTTTGAAAATTATTTTTAATAGCAAGTAATATTTGCTCAGCATGGTTAAGGCAAAGCAGTTATTAGTGATGATCAAAAAGTCCAGTGTTTAACCAAGCAGTTGTTTAGGGAATCTTGCTCAAAATTCTGTAAATGATACAGCAAACCCCATTGAAGTCTTGGGGGGGGGGGGGGTGACTCTTTTTATTTAGAGTGATTCTAAACTCTGCTATCTCTCCCACCTCTAGATGAGAGGGCACACTAGCAACAAGTTATTAACATGCAAACTGCTTTACGATTTTGGTTCTAAATACCATTTTAGAACATCTCTAGTGAAGGTCACGTGTCTATATTTTCTTTTCTCTAGCAGGATGGCCTCGGCTGGGGACAGGGCTAGGCCTAAGCGGGTCACTTGTCCTGTGACATCGCTTCAGCTTTTTCAGTCCCTCCCTCCAGAGGGGAGCTGTCAATCAAGGATCTGATCTGCCCACCAATGCCTTTTGGTTGCACTTAATTTATCTCATCTGTGTACAGCCCCCTATCTGCAATTAAATGTTCAAATGCAATGATGTACTCAAACACAGTACATATTTAGTCATTAAAAAACATTCTGTTAAATTTACATTATAAGGTTATTTGTGCGCACTATTTATTTGTACCTTTAAGTGCTCTAAACTTACCTGGATACAAATATTGGAGCCACATATCTCTCTGGACATATTCAGTGTCACAGTCTTCAGTGCTTCCTTATGACATGAGATAAAACAAAGCACAGCAGATGGAGAAAACAACATTCTTCTTTCTTCCACATTTCATGTTAAACATTAGGCACAATTCACAAAAGCTGTTTTTCTCTTGTTCTGTTATTTCCTTGATACCAAACCTTACTTAACATTCAAAAGGTGTGTGACCAAAGCCTAAATCAAAAATCCACATTGGGGCACCATTCCAAAAGCTACACAAAAAAAAGGTCACCACACCTATTGCTAGATGGGGATATCCTACTAAAGAAGGGACTTTACATGTGCCAAACAATGGAAAACACAAATATTTATAAAGCCGTGTATTTATTAACTCATCCAGTTAAAAGAGAGTCATCTCTCATTAAAAACACATGACATCAAAATCCAGTTGTATCGTACAATTCTCAGATATTATAGCAATTTTCTTTTATTTTCACTTTCAATAATAATGGTAAACAGGACAAGCAAAGAGAGGGAATGTCCCTTATGGGTGGAAAAGACAACAATAAAAACCTGATTGTGTCTTAATCGCCTTCAAATTTGTAAAGAACTAAAAAGAAAAAAAGTGATGCCTTTAGTTATACTTTAATGAAAAAATAGGGCTTTCCACATAATTTTTAACTTTACACGAAAAAATAAAAAATACACATCCTAATGTTTGTTTTTATGATCTGAACTGTTATATTGATATCAAATAAGCTGCAGTGTTATAAATAACAGTGTTATAATAACTCCATCTTAGTAAAAGAGCCTACAGAATATGATAAATAATGAAAAATACAGATATTCTGCAAGTTCCATGTGCTTTTGTAGCCCTGAGGATAATAGAATCAGTCCCTTTTTACCATCATTATTAATTGCTGTCATTGTATATATCGCTATCACATGTTCTGGTATTTATATTTCACCTCAATAAAATGTGTAAAATTAATTTGAAAAAAATCCATTACCACAGGGTTAATAATTATTGCAAGAAATATTCAAACATTTACACAATACACAATTATTCCCATCCCTGCAGGAATGACCCACTGTTATATACAGTAAATACATTATAGTGAGAATCCTATATCTGTTGGGAGCTAATCATAAAATGTTGATCTAAACCAGTGTGTATCTTTGCAGTCAATGATTTCCTTAGGATGTCATATGCCAGCCTCCTGTGTTCATCCTTCAAATACAAATCCAATCAAAGGGGAGTCAGCAACTTGGTAATGACTTCAGCAATAATTCCTTTATTGGCTTACATGGTAAAATAAAGTCCAAATAAAACATAACTATGTCCAATAAACATAACTATGATAAACGCTTTTTACTTAAATGCCCTAGTATATTTTCTTTGGATATTATCTTACCCTGTAAGCCAATAAAGGAACTATTGCTGAAGATGCCACCATGTTGGAACCTCGTCTTTGGCTGCATTTATATTTCAGAGGTGAACAGCAATCCCTGCCTGTCTACTGGTGTCTTCCTCTTTACCAGGACTAGGAGGTTGAGAGCAGCTGTTCTTTCTATTAGTCTCTGGTGTGTGCAATTTTACTTTTGTTGTTAGTTTTACTAGCATGAAGGTCTGTAATGCTTTGAATCTAAGTAAAAAAAAAAATTTAATCCTGGACACCCATTTGTCCTTTAAGCCCCAAATACAATCACTGTCCAAATCTTGTAGACTTCACCTCCACAACATCTCCAAGATAAGACCATTTTTAACCACTGAAACCACTAAGCAACTTATTCACTCCATTGTTATTTCACCTTGACTATTGTAACTCCCTCCTCATTGGCCTACCTCATCGCAGGCTATCCCCTTTTTAGTCTGTCATGAATGCTGCTGCCAGACTCATGCACCTTACTAACCGTTCCATATCCACCATCCCTCTCTGCCAATCCCTCCACTGGTTTCCCATTGCCCAACGAATAAAATTCAAAACATTAACAATAACATATAAAGCCATTTACAATTCTGCACCAAATTACATCACCAATCTTGTCTCCAAATATCATCCAAACCGTTCTCTCCGCTCCTCCCACGACCTCCTGCTCTCTAGCTCCCTTGTCTCCTCCTCCCATGCTCATCTCCAAGACTTCTCCAGAGTCTCCCCCATCCTCTGGAACTCTCTACCCCAATCTATCCATCTATGACCTGCTCTGCCCACATTTAGGTGAGCTCTGAAAACCTATCTCTTCTGGGAAGCCTATCCTGACTTCAGCTAATAGTTGAATTTTCTATTTCTCTTTTCAGTTCATGCCCCACAGTTATTACCTTTTGTACCACCAGCCCCTCAATCTTAGATTGTAAGCTCCAAGGAGTAGGGCCCTCCTAACCCTCTTGTATTTAACTGTATCGTTGCTATATTGTCTCCCTTTTATATTTTAAAGCAATGAGCAGACTGTTGGAGCTATATAAATCCTGTATAATAATAATAATATAAAGTAAGTTATATCCTTCTTGTATACTCACCACATACACCAAAGTGTACCTTTGAAGGGGCTCACATGAATTAATGTTTGTCCGGTTACAAATAAACACAGAGAACTTAGCTTTAGTTGGTGATGTCAGTCTGATTTCCATTGATTTAGCCATAACATATGTTTTCATATCCCAAGCTGCAAATAATAAAACAGACTGTGAATTACATATTCACTTGTATCTAAAAGGTAAAAATACCTTAAAATGGAGTTCCGGTCCCCAGCCCCCCACCAAAAAAAATAAAAGATTTAATATTAGGGCACTTACCTGTCCAGGGATCCAGTGGTGTCCTCACCCCAAGCCAAGTCTTCAACTGGCTGTCGGGTGCTGGTGCCGCCATCTTGTCTAAGGGAAACTGGTTTCCTACTGTGCATGCGCAAAGTGTGCTGCACTTTGTGACTGGGCCACAGATCTCTGGGACCTGTGAAGTGTCCCAGAAGGCTGCAGGGGGGACGGGCAATCTTCTGGCTCAGTTCGCCACAGCGAACTGAGCCAGAAGTGGCAGAGGGTACCTGTCAAAACCAGGTACCCGCTCCCCCCCAAAAGGTGCCAAATGTGGCACCGGAAGGGGGGGGGGAAGAGGCTGATAAACAGAGCTTCCACTTTTGGGTGGAACTCCACTTTAAGCATGTCCCCCAAAGCCTGGCTGCATTAACAAAATGTGAATGCAATGAAAAAAATGCAATGCAACAAAATGTGTGACAAAATGTGTTCTGTATTTGTGCTACATAATAAGTTTTTCTATTACCAGAAAATGGTCCAGAAGGAAAGGGACATTTCACCCAAGAGCCTGTTTCTGTAGCGAACTGAGAATAAATATAAAACAACAGAAAAAAAGTTATATAATATAACTTATTATTAAATATATATAAAGATAATTAGAAGAAAAAAAGTTGCATATGGTTGAACAGAATTAACATTTGCAACTAGGACAAATTCATGTATAACTTACAATGTAAGTATCATCATATATAAAATAAAATGATCCATAATTCACACTCACTTCTATGCCCCATTAGAATTTCAAAGCCTAGCAGCTAGTCTTGGGAGATGGAACTGTAAGTTCCCCCTCTGCAATTTTTCTCCATCAGGCCCAAGAGTTCAATCCTTTTGCAAGCTTCATGCCAGATGGTATTAAAGCTCACACAGGGCTATCTACTTAATGGAAATTGGGTGCTTAGGCTCAAACATTGCATTATGGATAGAGATCACATGCTGTTTCATACAATGAAGGAACCAGGGGTGGACTGACAACTCATGGGGCCCCCGGGCAATAGGAAATCATGGGGCCCTTGTGTCCTCACCCACACTCAAACCACACCCAAAAAAGCCACTGTTTTCCATATTATGGAATGGATGATTGCCTATATCGGTTTGAAACAAATAATACTTGCCAAAAAATATTATTCAGAGTACTTAACAGGGGCAGACTGACAACTCATGGGGCCCCCAGGCAACAGGGGTTCATGGGGCCCCTGTGTCCTTGCCCAAACTCAAAAAAGCCTATGAAAAAGGTACCAGGGGCATCTCATGGGGCCCCCTATTGACCCCGGGCCCTTGGGCAGTGCCCGAGTGGCTAAATGGTCAGTCTGCCCCTGGAAGGAACTGATATCTAGCAAGGGATCCAACAGAGCAGCGATGAAGCATGGCAAAGGTGGGTAACAGTGTGTATGTTAGTAGTTCCTACTAACCTAGAAACAGCAAAGTGACAGATTCTCAATGTACAGTGCACACACACAAAAGCAGACCTTGCATTTAAAGGATATGTTCACTTTTTAACAAAAAAAAAAAATAACAAATGCAAATTTTTTTTGCAAGTTAAAAAAATGTGCATGTTTTGTGTTGGGACTCCTACAGACCTATCCTATTGACAATTAACATTGGAACAAGTATTCTCCTTCAACTCTTCTTCTGGTGTCAACTATAAATTTATTAGATTTCCCCAGCTTTTTAGATGCCACCAGGAAAGATTGTGAGATTAACCCCCTAGAAGATGAAACCTCAATAAAAGCCCAACAAAGATGCTAACCCTTCACCAGTCTAACCAAAACATAAAAAATAAATTGGGTTAAAGTTTTACAATAACATTGGATGAACTGTATTCAAATTAATCAAGTGTTTTTTTAAAATCTCATGCATTGATACAGAGCACTTTATTGATGCATATAAATCACAAAATTACATTTACATATTTATAAAAGACATGTTTTTGTATCGGGATAATTAAAAGAACTTTAATTGGTGATTTTGTTCATCTATTAGAATAGCCAAGGGTAATTTAATTATATGTGGCTGTGCTGAGGTAGTAGAGCTAAATACTGTACATCTACAATACATTTTCATTTAGCATTTGAAATTTGTTAGCATGTTAAGATATTGTTTCACACAATAAATAATATACTTTGTATACATAAGTGTTATTGCTTATGGAGGGTTATTTCTGTTAACTAATGATAACCACTACTTAACTCCTTATTGTAGGCAGTATTTTTTTTTTTTTTACTAATGAGCAAATCTGTTTATTTTCGAGTTCACACTCACCATTGTGACTATATCTATGATTCTCTTTGGGAATTGTTGACCCACCCTTTAGGTTTTGTTTAGTTTTTCAGGTTAAGTATATGTATCTGGGAGCTGCTCCAATTTTTAATTATGTATCCTTGAGCCCAGTTAGCTTGTTAAGAACTTGTGGCAGCCGACTGCTGAGAGTGATGCAATTATAAAATGTTCCAGAGAATAATTTGTGATAGCAGAATTTCCCACTTCTCCCCCAGGCTTTGTAATGGTGAGCAATCAAAGCTCTATCTGACATTGATCCAGTGCCAAAGCACATTGAAACTGGCAACTGCTGTACTCTGCCATGTTTAAACATATTGGTTGTAGCAGCAAAATGCCAGGAAGGACACAATTATCAATGAATGCGGATGATAGCAGAATCCCCCCTCACCCACCCTCATTTGTGCTATGTAATAGTGAAGAAATCTAAAATCTGAAACATTATCTTTAATACATTAATTGAATGTACATTGAAAATGGTAACTGCTGTGCTCTGCTGTGTGATGCACCTCAAGCTGAATGGTTGTTTCAAAGGGCAACAAATAAAAATCTTGGTGTCCTGACTAGAGATGAGCGTTGGCCTCCTCTAAAGTCAGGTCTACCTGAACTCTGAACTTGCACACTTTTTTTAACTCCAATAAGCTGTGGGTCTGACCCACAGCTCACAAAAACAAAGATGCAGACTGTGGGGTGGGGTGGAGTAACCCAGACCAAAGCTTATTGGAGTAAAAAAAAAGAGCACAAGTTTGGAGTTTAGGTAGAGATGAGTTCAGAGGATACCAAAGCTCATCTCTAGTCGTGACACACGCACACATTGAAACAAAGGGATTGATTTGCTAAAGGCAAATAGGCTGTTTCCTTTAGCTTAGTAAATGTGGTGAAAATTCACTTGGCAAAGAATATCCAATCACATCATGTTGCTTTACCTCATTCACTAAGCTAAGGGAAATTTCCCTTGCATAGTGAACAGCCTATTTGTCTTTAGTATGTCAAACACAAAAAGTGCAGATCCTGGGACGTTGACTACCAGAGTTCATGACTTTTCGCCTCCAGTAAATCGATTATTTCCAGATCATATTCTGGTTCATGCAAAATCAATATGCTCCAGGGGCGGACTGACCATTCAAACACTCGGGCACTGCCCGAGGGCCCCAGGTCAGTAGGGGGCCCCATAAAATGCCTCTGGTACCTTTTTATAGGCTTTTTTGGGTGTGTTTTTAGTGTGGGCAAGGACACAGGGGCCCCATGATCCCTAATTTCCCGGGGGCCCCATGAGTTGTCAGTCCGCCCCTGATATGCTCATCAGTGGTCAACAGGAAAAATCTGTAAAGCATATAGGAGCAAACTGTCAAAAAAGTAGAGCACTGAGGTTTTGCTTGTTTTAATGTCTCTCACAAAAACAGTATTGGATTGTCATTTGCAGAGTCCAGAATATCATCACTTATAAAATACAGTGTATTTTGTAAAGCAGATTGCTGTCACAAAATGTACAATGTACATTATTAATGTATTTATTGACAGCAAGAAATACAGATCCAATAGTTTTTCTATCATTTAATTTATATTTTTTATAGATTATTTTTAGCAGTGTTCTCTTGTGTCTTTTCAGTGGCTTCAATATATTTACCTTCATGCAAAGTCTGGGGTGTGTATCTACACGAGTATATGAAACCTGAATTATGAAAAAAAGGAAATAAATAAGTATAAAACACATATGTTTATTCACATCATAATACAATTGCTGTAATAACATTAATGTATAGACATATGCATGTTGTTTCATCCAAAATTTGATTTTGGGGGATTCGGATGTGTGTGGATCTCCAAATGGACATAGTAAGGGATGTAAACGAATCTGAAAAAAGTTATAACTAAAATAACAAATGCATTTGTTTAATTTAGATGACATCACAGGATTTGATAGTAGTTCAGGCCTATGGGGAAATTAGTTCAAGTTTCAAATTTTTTGATAATTTGGATTCAAGTAAATCTGTGATTTAAATTGAATTTGTAATTTGTCACAGTCATTCAGTTCAGTTCCACAGCAACTCTTAGGTTTGAATAAGTCAGGGCCACAGAATTTTGCATTATTTATTCAGTTGCATCCGAAAATATTGAATCTTATTAACGAAACCACCATAAATATTGATTTCAAAAACTAATATATAGCAATCTTCTGAAAAAAATGCAACATTTTTCAAATCCACACAAATCGACAAATATACAAAATGTATGCCAAAAACAAATCAGGTTAGCATAACAAATATGATGAAACAAAATTCTGCAATGAATGCATGCATCTGATTTGAATTCTATTATTTTTAGTATAATGATGCTGAGTATTAATGATTTACAGAAAAATAATTGCGTTTGCTCTGCTGTGTTTTGCCCGAGATTTAATCAGGACCTCTCTGCCGCCTGCTATTGTTGGGTGTGCATGCAGTGTCAGTATTCTTTGATTCACAGAATAACTTCATAGTATCAGATACAACAAATTCAGGAACCCCAAATGGTGTGTCACTATGTCAATAGAGATTTTTTCAATACTCCACAACATATACAGAATTCACCTAGCAGTCCACCCAGGACTTTTTATGCTGTAGTGAAGTCGATATTTTAGCATTTCTTTTGAACAACCTCCCAAAGTGACAACATGCTTGTAATTGAGACCATTGCAGACATCATAGACAGTCAGATCACCTATCAGTGAAGTCAAAGGGAGGAGTTACTAAAATGGAGCACTTAGAATCTGGTGAAACTGTGCATGGTAGCCAATAACTTCAGCTTGTTCATTTAATCTTTGACAATAAAACCTGGAAGCTGATTGGTTTCTATGCAGAGCTGCACCAGATTTTGCATGCTCCAGTTATAGCAACTCTCCCACCAAAGGTTCTAATATTTGTCTATTCTCTAAACAAACCCTATGTCCTATACAGTTACTCTTTCCTCTAATTCCAGTGGAAAGGGACAGCAATATCATGTCACAGAGGTAAAAAACATCCTGTCTATTTTGTTAGGTAAAGGGTGGCTTTAATTTCTTTATTACTGATATGTTTGCTTACTTGATTATGAGCATCACTTGATGAGTCTGGAATATTCACACATTTCTGTTTGTCATCTGTCATCCAACAAAGATGGACCTTGGCCTTCACAGTACAGAGTGGCACCCAGGTTAATACTTCTTTCATAGAATTGTATGCAATATTGTCCCAAAGAGTGGAAATATCTGTTAAAAAACAAAACAGTTGTTTATGAAGTATATGACACTTTTCTTTGTACTTGAAAATGGACAAAACAAGTCCTTGGTATTTAAAGACATATTTTAGTGTTCAAGTTTTGACAGTTTGGGGAATAAGTGTAAGATAAAAAGGCTTGTTTTAACATATAGAAATAAAACTGGTATAATTAACACTGCCTAGAAGGAAAAGGATAACAAACCTACTAAAGCCACTAGTTAAAAAGGTATTCAACAGTATTCTTTTATTTTGCATTGGCCAGTGATTTATGATGATTGATCTAGTGTCTATAATATACTTTTCAGAAACCTAAGCTTGACATAAGAGAATTAAACTTGCCAAGATTCTCCCAGACTTCAACAAATCCATTTTTCTTCTGAAACATATAGATCCTTCATATACCACAATGACACAAAAAAAACTTTCCAAACAACTGTTCAGTGCTTTTATGAACATTTCCAATATAATTTTTCTTTCATATTATCTCAGATGTTAAATTCTGCATAGGAAAATATCATTTGTATCAATGATTAAAGCCAGCCTAATAGGCAAATCAAGATGTGAAGAGTGAAGTCTAGATTAGAGACAGATGCAGTCTGTGGATATTCTATACCACCAAGGTGTTTAGGTTTTGGAACAGTAGTTACAGTTAAACAAAAACACAACTTTTACTATAACACTGGAATTACGCAGAACATAAAAATATATGGCTTAGGAAGGCAGGTTTCCTCACTTGTTTTCAAGGCCATAACAATTTTAACTGTATTAAAATTAGTGCAGGCACCAAGTGAATCAATTGGACAGTACTTTTCAAAGCCATAAATATATCCAGACTCTTTGAGATCCAAGATCCAAGATTTTGTAGGAATGTAGGAGGGGAGAAATAATTGCATGTTTTCTTGCCATTCATGGGAACATGTAAGTTGCCATCCTCCAGTGAACTGATCATTTGTACCTTTTTACAACTATATGTTAGTTAAAAATTAAAAAAAAAAAACACCTGCACTGATATAAAGAAAAACTCAATTTGTAATAATAACCAGTTACTATAAATTCTCACCCTACCCTGTTTAATGCTTTAACACTTTTTTAAAACCTACCAAAATCCAAAATCTGTACTTAGGCCATTGTGTTTCTTAACATTTAGGCCACATTTCTAAACTGGGTTTTCTCCTTCTGAAAGTTAACCTGCCCAGATTAGAGCCTAGTATTCTCCCCATAGCTTTCAGCTGTGGATTGAAGAGCAGAAGAGGAGATTGACCCAACTGCTAGCAGAGCAGGTTTTGGATTATTTGTTCATTTGTTATTTGAAGGTGATCTAATATTACAGTGATGCCAGAAGACATAGTCTTTATATATTAGTATTTGTAAAGACTAAATAAAAACAATATATCAGTGCAATTAAGTGTATATATGGTCATAATGTTAAATCATGCATTTATTTCCACGTTGTATTTCGATTATTATGTCCAGTTTTGTAAACTTTGTGTCACTGAATTCACAGAGCCTGCCTTCTGAGCTGCAAAAGTACTGAGGGGGGGCATTTCAGGAAGCAGAGTCAGTATAGGAAACACTGATTGCAGATAGCAAGGTACCATGGGATATTAGTCCTTAGAAACTGAAAGTAAACAGCAGAGGAGAAGCATGAGTAAAGCATGCAAGACATCCAGGAAGTTGTGGAAAGTGATGTCCAGGAGACAGACTGCTCTCACAACATGAAAGGAGATTTTTTTTTTCAAGTAAGCTTATCATATATAGCTATTGTTTGTCTTTTTATTACAATGCTGATATTATAAAATGAACCCGTATGTTCTGATCATAGATCTCCTTACTGTTACTGATACTGTTACACCCCGCAACATCTACGTCTGCGACATGTTAAACAGAAGAAGAAATAAAAAAAAATAGAAATTTAACATATCTCAAATACACATGATTCACAAACATAGTGAGGATGGTGAAATCACTGTTATACCATACTGAAAAGGTAAAAATATGAGAAAAGACTACAAAGTCTGTAAAACTGTTTGAGTATTACAGTCAGATAAATTTATATGCAGAATCACCCAGGATAATTTTTTTAAACATAATTCCCTGCATGTCCTTTGAACTATGTACAGTAGGCTTAGAAGGGACAATAGTAGAGCTTTTGCATAAGCCAACCTCTCCACTGTAAAATGAGTGATGCAGAGCAGCCAAATTTGTTGATTTACTAAAACTGTGCAAGATCTGGTGCAGCTCTGCACAGAAACCAATCAGCTGCCAGGTTTTATTGTCAACACTCAATTGAACAAGCTGGAATTAGAATCTGATTGGCTACCATGCACAGCTGCACCAGGTATTGCACTCTCCAGTTTTAGTAAATCAACCCCATAGTGTCAGAGTATTGGAAGCTGCTGTTTAGAGATAATAGGGAGAGAAGAAAAACTGTGTAGGATGAGATTACGGACATTTAGGAAAATTAACTTTTACCTTCATTTTATTTCTGTGGATAATTGTTTTAGGGTCCTCATTTATTTGTGGAGTATATTTGTTTTTATTGTTTGATGGTATGGTTTTTTTTAGTTTAACCGGTATTTTTCATCTTTTTTTCCCCCTTTTTTTAGGGAAAGGTGTTTTAGGGAAGGTGTTTGAGGTTTTTGTTTTTTGGAGTTATTTTTACACTTAATTAAATACTTTCAGCATTGTGTGTACCTAAGCCACTTTACATTATGTCAGTCACATTCAGCACACACCCATTTCTTCATAGATAAAATAAAAGTTAGGAATTTGCTAGTTAGGCTTATTTTTCCTGATTAAATCTGTCTTGGTGCTTGACAATATTACTCTGCTGTACCTACTGCAGTATCTTGATTCTGTTAGTAAAGCCTAGGCCTGTGATCCTTATTCCTAATAAATGTGGACATAAATAAACCTTGTGAAGAGACCTCAAAGCCCCAAATAAAAAAAACACCATACATATATGGAGAAAAAAAGTTTTTTTTTCTAAAACTACAACAAGTAGAAAAATATCTAGAAACCACTATTGTAAAAATATCTACTTTGCAGAGCTATCAGGGAAGTTAAAGTATAAAGAAAAAAAAATAAAAATATATCACACAAACACATATTAAATGCATACGCATTCCTGTTGAAAATAAACTCCATCCAATTGATCCATTCAATAAATAAGGTGCATATTTACATCTTAGAGCAAAGACATATAAACTAATAATAAATGTGTTATACATGCATACCATAAGGCATGAACAGAGGATATATGAATCACACAAAAGTAGTGGTGGAGCTTTCTTGAGATACAGAAGTTCCTTGGATACTTGTATGGAGGATATCTTTGATCTTTAAGAGAATGGAGATGGCTTTGAAACATTAAATCATATTATACAAGGTCCTCAACTTAAACCATAGAGAGTTCCAGATTAATCAAAGGAAGGACTCATCAACAACTTCATCCATTGCTGAAAAGGCAATCCTCAGAAACAGTTATACACAACCATTTGATAGACCCTTTGCTGATATGGTGTTCCAAGCATGATGGCTGTATATATAAACTAGGTCCAGCACATTAGGGCGATATAGCCAAACTATGATTACTATGTAAATGTTTTCCAGAAGCCCTTGATACTCCAAGTATCCAAAGGTTTCAAGGTGAATTTAACCTGTTATCTATACTAGAAAAGGAATGTCAACACATAGGTTTCTACAGGGACCACCAAGACCACAAATATATGGCTTGCACTTATTTCTGGGAGCCCATTAAACAGATGACCATAGAAAATATAAAAGTCCAATCATTGTCATAAGACTTCAAATTAAAGAGATTTCATTTCATAAGTAAAGCCAGGAGTCCATCCATTAGGAAGGAATGTAAGGGAGAACTACCACAAGATCAATAGCAGGGGAGACAAAATGTCTAACCGGTTTTGTTGGTATCCCAACTGCCTCAGAGGCTGTCCAACTCACATTGGTGTTCCACACCCTAAATACTGGGTTAAGCATTAAAGATGGCTCCAGAGGGGCAGAGAACACCATAAAAACTCTAGCCTTTCCCTGGTGAACCAGGATATTCCATTGTTCCACCCACTCCCTCCTACTGGGAAACGACCCACTAAAACCACACCAGCGACAAGACGTCATCACACTAGCATGCCGGAAACGTCATCATTCAACAGAGCGAAAATTCACCGCACTCCCCCAGTTGGAAAAGAAGGAGGATTACCAGCCAACAAGACAAGCTCAACCTGGAGGGCAAAAAAAACCCTAGTTACCCTGGGCAGCACCCAGCCCACCATACAATTTGTTTGACAAATATTTGCCTATCAGCATTAAAAATGCCCATTACTCTTTACTCTCATTCTTAACATTTGGCACTAATTGACTTCAAAAGGCTTCAGATTTGGCACTCAACCCTTAACCATGTTCTATGAACCCACCTCAAGATAAACGCATGTACGATCAGCACATCCCTAGCTGAAAGCACAGTTGCTACAGTAGCCTCCTATTAAAAAAAATTGTGCTACAGCACTTAATTATAAGTGGATCTGTAATTACAGTTTTCTCCTAAAGCCCAACTCCAGGAATATCCAAAATTCACCTTCCCCGCACTGCAAGGGTTTAATGCTTATTGTATCTGTGGGGTATAGTGCAGATTCTATCACTTACCTATCTCCCCACTCCAGTCAGCTTTGGCTCTCTTCCTCTCTACCTGAAACTCCTATCTGTGTGCGGAGCCTCAGTATTCTTACGTACAGAGACACTAACCCTATATTGTGCATTGAGGAGGTAGCTGCAAAAAATGGGGGTGAAATCCTCAGGAGGGTAAGTGGTTAAAGACCAGTCACTACTGCTCTTTCTCCTTGTCATGAGTGACTGGTCTTGTATCTTGCCCCATCCATTAGTTATCTGCATGCTGTCTGTAGAAGATGGGCAAGCTAAGTCCTTCCTACTGTTCTAATCTCTTCAGAAATTATGTGGAGCATAGTGATGATGT